CTGCTACGTTTCGGCCCGAGCTTGTCCCACCTGCTCTCCGGGTTTGCCCTCTCCTCCTTCCTCCTTGGACATGGTTCCTGTAAGGCTGTGCTGTCCATGGACAGAGCAGGACCTAGGACACAGGCTGCAGATGGAGCTCTGGGGTTTCTGCCTTCCCTGTCATCAAAGCCTCAATTTTGCTGCCCCAAAGATGTAATTATCAGAGCTCTGGCCGCTGATGCCCCTGCTGCACCCATGCTGTATGCTGTTGTGTCACTCCTTTTTGCAACTTTAGGCTTGTTGGTTTGGAGATTTTGTCCAATTCTTTGCTTTCTCTCTCAAGTAGACACTGAGTAACTCATAAAAGCCCTTTAAACTTGCACGCAGAAGGTAAAACTTTGGCTTTTCTAACCACAAAACCACTTTTTTTTTTTTCTTTTTTCTTTTCTTGGTCAACAGAAGCAGAAAGTAACCCCCTCTGCAGCCCTTCCTCTTCTCAGCTAGGTTTGTTCTGAGCATCATCAACACGAACCACCCTGTTGTGCTCTTACGCTCATCCTGTCGCAGCGTCCTCGCTGCCGCTGGGAGAAGCCTCGGGCAGCCGAGCAGTGCCCGGTGCCAGGCTCCCTCCGGGCACTCGCAGGGCCCTTCTGATGCTCTCGCGTGTCTGTGCCCAGGCTTTTGCTTCTAGCGCTCGGGGTGTTTCAGATACGTGTCAGAAGCGGCAGCAGCCCCGGCCTGAGCGGGAAGGGGCTGGCTGGGAGCACGGGACTGCGCGCGCAGGTTGCACAGGCTCTGCTGGGCCAGGGAGGAAAGCAGGTGGGATATTCGCATTCCCTCTCCCCCGCTAAACCCAAGCCTGTAGACCAAGAATCAGGTGTTCCGTGACTCCAGAATCACTTACACCAAAGGATAAAACAATCAAAGCAACTTTTCTACCTTTAAACGTGAATTTCCTCACTCCTGGAAAGAGGAGTACAAAAATACACAGTGCACAGGAGTACACAGTACAAAAAATGCCTAGGAGAGCTTATCTAGATTGGGTTTAACAAGGACTGAGCAGAGTCTTAGTGCTCTCAGAGTACAGGCTTGGATCCATTTTCACAGGGTCCTGCAAGTTCAGAATTAAAGTATATAAACTCCTTGCAGGTTTGAAACATTTGAGTGGAGAATAACTAACCATGGAAGAATGTGACCTTCCAACATGGTTCCTAGCTGCAATTCAAAAATGCTTGTTTTGTGCGAATAGGAGAGAAGATTTTTGTATATTACGTGACAGATGCAATATATTTGTATAAAGGCAGTGGCAATTTGATGTTTTGTTACAGATGCCCTCACCTTGTGCTCCTTGAAAAAATGCTATTTCAGGCCATGCAGACAAGGGCAGAGCAAACATAAGCTTGAAAGAACTATCCTTCCCTGAGATCTGAAGGAGAGGATAGTGGAAAAGAAGGAAGGAAAAGGGTAGGAAATCACATACATGAGGGCCAATTACACAAATAGCTGTTGTCAGACTAGGCAGCTTTAACCAAGCTACCGCGTGGTTACAGGAGCTGTCTTGCAGAAGACCTGAGCTCCTGGGGCTCCGCTTCACCGAGGCTGCAGCTTTGTAACTATCTTAAAATTCGTATTAAAACTAGAGTCTCTGAAATTGCGTTTCAAATATTAAGCTGTTGTAGTTAAAACAGGGGCATAACAGAGCTTTAAAATTGCATGAATAGGCTTCCTAACTTCTGCCAGGTGAGCTCCAGAGAGCCGCTCTGCACAGCGCGAGAGCATCAGGGCCCGAACGCGCGCTGTGCTCCGTCCCAGCTCCGTCCTGCTCCTCAAGGACTAACCGCCCGGCCAGGCGGGCGGTGAGGTGATCCCGCTGAGGGAAGCAGCCAGGCCGCCTCGCTGCGGACGGCCGCGCGTTGCTGCGCTGCTCGCGAGGTCGCCGGTGCAGACGTGCTGCGTGAGGAAGCCAACCCGCCCGTCGTCCGCGTCTCCTCTAACACGGCCAGTGCGGTGAGGCAGGGTAAAAAACGAGCAAGAAGGACACTTCTGCACTTAACATTAAATTAGATTGCTTTACCACAGGACTCAGTGGAGTGGATGCTGAAGTGTTGCAGACTTTCAAATAAGGACTTGACAAATTTGCACAAGGCAACTCTACTGGGGGCTATTAAATACAGAGATGTTGCTGGCTTGGCAGCCCCTGAAACACTAGTTGCTAAAGGCTAGAAGATTATTTTCTGAGAAATATCTTTATATGCTTTCCCTGTTTTTCTACTCTTCCCTGGGGATCTGGTGTTGGGGACAGGATATTGGTATGAATGGACTTTGATCTGAGGCTGTGTGCCCCTCCTTGTAGTCTAACATTTAAATCTGTGCCTCCTTCTGTGCTCTGGAGCGAGCTGGCCAAGGCTGACGGCAGCCACGGAGCTGGCTCTGGACCGCATGTCGGAAAGAGGGTGCCTCCCTTCCCCACGGGAAGCAGCTTCTCCCAAGAGCAAGCGCCCAGGAGGCCTCATTTGTGCCCTACTACTGAGCGACTCGGTGCTTTGGAGCCAGCAGTTCCAGAGAAGTTTGATCTCTGGAGACTGGAGCTGGAGCATGTGGGTCGTTATGCCCGCTGTAACCAGCACCAGCTTCTTTACAAGCCCTGTTGCAGCAAGTACTCTCTGTACTTCCTCCAGCGGTGCTGGAAGCGTGTGCCTCACAAGCAGCCAAGACAACATCATCTCTCACACTCCTATTGCCAACGCGTCCACAAGCGAGGCACAGCACTGTCCTCCTTTCCCAGGTTGCTGCATCACATTGCTGAAGATACTCAGCAGAGAAGTGTCCTGGGGACACTTGAGCGTGTCCTTGTGTCCTAGTAGAGCCTTGGCTTGTGATCACAGCTGGCTGTACCAAGCATTAGGAGGCGGTGGGACTGCTGGGCCCGTGCCCCTCAGAGGACCTCAGCGATGACGACGCGTGCGTCTGCCCTCGGGACAGCTCGTGCTGCTGACACATGCGCGGGCTGGTGCCCGGCAGTATGCAGGACAGTCTGCCAAGAACCCGGCCAAAGCCTGGGGAGGAAGAGTCTGCCCACAAGGGTTTATTTTAATCGGAGTTTAGGTATGGAAGCAAAGTGCCGATGGGCTGTGCAGCCCGGCTCTTTTCAGTGGGCAGTGCATTCCTTGATCTGTATTTTTCAAGAAACAAGGAGGGGAAATTGAAACAATTTATACATTCAGTTGAGTTCAGCGATTTGCTCCAGCTAAAGCAGAAGTTCAGGGGGTAGAAGAGCCTGAAAAATGTTTAAATTATTCTTTGCTCTGATTCAAAATGGAAAGCTTTGAAATTTGGGAAGGTTTAGGGGTGAACTGTTCTCCATGTGGGGAATGAGGCATGGGAATGGCAATGGGCAGCATGCTGTAATAGGGAGGATACCCATGTGGATATGGAAAAATCTGGGTTTTATCCCTCCTTTGCCTAAATTGGAGCAGGGACCAGGAACATTTCACCATTTCTCTGTTTCACAAAGCAGAACATTTTAAGGAGGAGAAGCCTGAGCAGGAGCTACACAGAAATAGACTCTCCTGTAAAAACCATTCTTCACTGTGGGAATACTCTTATTTTGAGATAAGCGAGTGAAAATGCCTTAAAGCAATTCCAAACACTTTAATTTGCCAGAAGTGCTGAGGGAGGTTGCCATGGGGTCGATGCGGCGTGCGGTGGGGAGCGCTTGGACACATCTCACACATCTGCCTGATCCCACTCAGGGATCCAAAGTGTCTCCCATAGGCTTAGCCTTTCCTGCATCTCCTCAGTTGACCACCTTGTTTCTCCCATGCTCTCTGGCTGTTAACCTGGCAGGACAACCAGACAGGAGGAGGAGGAGGCCGTTTCTGGGAGCCTCTCACTGCTGCTGCTTTCCTGCTCTACCTCCCACAACCGCTACAGAACCTCAGCTTGACCCACAGGAGCGACACCGGGGGGTTTGCCAATTCCTGTGCTTCTAAATTGGTTTATAATATGCTAAGCAGAATTAACTGGCCTTGCATGTCTTTCTTGTAGGTTCTTCTGGGTATTTTCTGACACTGGAAGCTTATGTTGCTGATGGATTTCTTTTTCTTTTTATCAGCTATTAAAAGGCATATCAGGTATCTTCCTGATACCGAGAACTATTGGGTTGGGAAATAATTTCCCAGAGGTGAGAGAAAGCCCTAGTACCCAATATATTAAAGAGGTAACTGGATTTAAGACCAGGGGATAATTTTGCATTAGAAAAAAAATGACCGAGTGACCTGGAATTAGTAATTCCCCCAGCAATCTATAACATGGCACAGGAAGTTCTGGAAAAAAAAAGCAGTGGAAGCTACTTTTTGTCCTGATGATTGTCAAATGCAAGTGTCAGATACAAATACCTGCATGACTCCTTAGCTAGACCTTGTTCCATAAATCCTGCTGCTCCAAGGCACATTCAGAGATGTGACCATCCCTGTTCAGCCTCCCAAGCACTTGCAGAACAGTGTTGGGGGCCTTAATACAGAGGAAGGGCTTGGAATCACACATGTGATTCGTTGCAGCATTGTCCCTCGAGGAGCATTTCTGACTTGGTAGAGCGTTTTCTCCCTCCTTCCGCTCTCTCCAAGAGCCTGATCCTGGAGCAGAGCTGCTGTCAACAGTGTAGTCACATAAACACCAGAATTTCACACTGCGTCAAAACATTTAAGGCTTTAAACCCAAATATTTCATTTTTGTGAGCGCTGCAGCCCTGAACAGAGAACAGCTTTCTCCAGTCCAGCACTGGGTGCTGTGGACGCTGCCCCTCGCTGTCCAGCCGCAGATCTCCTTCAACACCCGGAGATGCTGAACGGCAGGAAGCAAAGTATCCCAGCAGATAGAGAGATTTACTCTGATATAAATATCAGCTGGTTGCTCTCCAGACCAGGTGTGGCTTCATGGAAACCCAGCAAATCAGCCCGGTACTTTGCTGCCTTGGTCTATTCCGTGTGTCCTCTCTGTGCCAAGCTGTGTAATTGCAGGATCAAAGCGGAGCTGGGCCTGGCTCCAAACTTCCTCCAACTTCAGAGGAACTTGGAGCCGTATCGCAATGCTGGGACTTGGCTCTGCCTCCAAATCGGGCTCTGATAATCCCCTAGGAAAAGCCAGACCCATGAATTATCCACTAAGTCACAGAAGAGCAGCCAAAGCCGTCTGCTTCGGAGCACATCTGCCCTGCCTGCCCCGCACTGACAGTCCAGAAATTTAGATGGAGCCTTTTGTTAATCCTGAAATGCTAATCTGGCATTTGTCTCAAGAAAAAGCCATCCATCCTTAATCTGCTATTTTAATTTTGAAATCATTTTTCTTCTCCCCTCCTTGCTCTGTTTAACTCTGTGATTGAGATACCAGTAAGCGCTTTTCCTCGTTATCCCTTGCTGCTCAGCTCAAGGCTGAGGCGGAGGTGGGCGAGCTGGAGAGCAAAAGGCTCCCAGGAGCTCGGGAGAGAGCCCCATGCCGCCCCGCGCCCTCGGTCTGCATGCGGCACCCAAACGAGAGCCCCTGCTACGGGGGATTGACTGCAACTCGCGTGTCCTGTTGATGCAAGGGGTTGAGGTCAAGTTTTCCAATAAGCCAGGAACAGGAAACTCTGCTCATGCTGAGGGAGAGTCATAAATTGGCCCAACAAGGAGACTGCAATTAAGAAATGAGGTTGGGGATGGATGGGAGTAGTGGACCCTGGGGATTGATAGAGCTGTTTTGTTTAGATTGAGGTCTCTTTCAGACCTATCTTCTATGACCCTGAATCTTCCTCTTCTTCTACCTTATTACTCTATTATTACTTATTACAGTAATGGCAAAATGTCTCATTATAGCTACCAAGATCAATAATAGCAGTTATCAGCAGTGTTTATTAAGTTAAATTCCATGCCAACATATATCTTGCCTTTCCAACACAATTTATACATGACCTAAGATAATAGTACAGGAGACAGAGAGAAATAGATGTCATTTTAAGGTATTTCAGTGGTTTCATTGATCTGCCTGAAGCCTCTTCAGAGGAGGTTAAAGTTTACGTTTCTGGGCTAAGCCGTTTTCCTGCTGCAGAGCTCACGTTAGGGGCATTTTATGCTCTGAGTTTGCCCTGTCGCAATCTCTTAGGGTTTACCAGAGTTGCTGAGCCACTACCCCAAACCTTCCCCACCTGTTCCTTTTCCTCCTTTTTCCATCACTCAGTTTGCCCTTGGAAGCAAATATTAAACACTGTAATCCTCAGATTGAAACTCTGGTCACTAAAGCCTTGGCAGCAATCCCCAAGCAGAGGATGCAAAATCCTGTTTTGATCAACGATAACGTTTCCCCACTTTTCCTGAATATTGTGGATGCTGTGTAACTTGCTGTGAGTTGAGCAGCTTAAGATCCCATTCCTTGGGAAAACCCAGGTGTCTGATATTGCTTCCAAAAAGCTTTCCTTTGCGCTAATGCTAAAAGAAGTCCTTACTTGATTTCTGTTTGTCCTCCGGCTTTTCGAGCAATCTGGATCAGCTCTTTCCCATATCTTTCTTCTGCCTGTGCTCTGTTAAAAGAAAAAGTTACTCAGTGGTGCTAGAATCATGCTTACAGAAAGTCTCACTGTAGTTGCTTCTGAGATATAAAACATAAGAAATAGAATTTATTTACTCCATCTCCTGGATTCTTGTGCTGCTAGGGTCTCTAATATGTTGTAGGTGACATATTTCCAGAAGAGTTGAGGGAAAATGGATGCCCATGACCTCGAGGGGACTCTGCAATATAAAATTCTGTCCCCCCAAAGTAGCTAGAAGAGGGGCGAGGGAACCGCTGTGCAAGGGCTAAGGAAAACAGAGACTGTTTTGCAGCAGAAATATGCAGGTATGTGGCTGACTGGAGCTACCAAAATGAAGGCTGGGAGGCGAGTGAGCAGCAGGATCCAAAGGATCCCTTTGAAAGGAGGTTATGAATAAATGGAAGCTGGAAATAAGAGGAAACTTTTTAACCATTAGAGGCGTGAGGTCCTTCTGTGCAGCTGCATTGGAAGCAGCCGTGCTAGTTATGAGGTGACAACTGTATGGAGGGGACAGCATGACGTGATGTCTCACCTAAAGGGGAACTGTACCTAGAGCCTCGGGAGAGCAGTTCTGTTTCCAAGGTTAGTAAAGAAATGTAATGTGGTCTTCTTTCTGTCATCTTCCTCCCTAAAAATTCTCTAAGAGTTCTTATTTGTTTATCTCTGCTTAGAAAAGCGTATTTGTACTAAATGCATTACTTCCTTTCTTGTGAATGCAAAGCCAGGGCAGAACTGAGCTTTCTGCCTTCAGTGGCTGATAATAAATAGCCAGCAGGCAGCTTGGTGCTAGGAATTGGGGCAGGGGGTTGCTTAGGGTAAGTCCAGTTTCCTGCAGAGGTTTCAAATGCACTTACACCTGAGACGTGGCACCTTGGGGAAACGTATTATTTGCTCCAAAAGGGAATTTCACTGCAGGTACCCGGCCCCACTGTCCTGCTGATGTATCCATGTCCTCCCGCTTGCCCCGCTGCGCTCGGTAATTGCGGGGAGCGGAGGCTGCTCTTGGCCTGTGTCCACGGCCCGTGCAGCTCGCGAAGCGCCGTCGTCCTGCCCTGCAAACAGCCACGGCGGAGCGGGGCCCTGCGCACGCGGCAGCCGTTGCTACGTCCCTGACTTGGGATTCCCCTGGCAAGAAGGGCATTTCACAGGGCCACACCAAGGTATGGCCTCATTTCCACGTTAAATGAACAAAATCTCATCAGAGTGAAATATGCTCGAGAGACATGCAGAGCGGCAGATTAGGTCTGTTTTCATCTGCCTTAGTAACTTCTGCAGCAGAGACTTTGGTGCTGGTGGGTGTAGAGCCCTGCGAAGCAGCCCGGTGCCACTGCTCCTCTGCCTGCTTTGTACAGGCTGTGCTGAGGAAGGGGCACAGGCTGGAGCAGCCGCCCCTGCAAAACCCCCGGCTCACGGCTTTCTGCACGTGGCCTAGCCCGGGGCCGAGGGCTTTGACGGGGCCGACACCATCTGTTCAAACCTTGGTGCTGCCTTTCTCACTTTCAGATGCCCTTGCACGCAGCTTCCAGGTTTCCCTGCTGCAGTTCAGAAATGGAAAATAATATGGGATTTGAATGTGGATTTTGTTCTGGAAGGTGCCATGTTCCTCATTCCCTGAGCTCTTGAGCCCTCCTCCATACCAGGCTGCAGTGTTTACAGGCAACAGGAGCTGGCCTGGGTGGAAAACTCATTAAGTGTCAGTGCAAGCAGGGCGGCTGCTTGCCAAAATCAAGGCAGCTGCTGCAGGAGCCCTTGCCGACATCAAAGCAGAGCACAGGCAGCTGCGGAGGGCCCCGCTCATCCCTGCGTTCCCGTGAACGGTGCAAGGACAGGACTGAAGAAGCCACTTCCCGAAATAAACTGGAAATGATACCCTCTCTCTGCAAGTCGGGCTGCTCTTTTCTCCCCCTCGAGACGCACGAGCACACGTGCTAGAGAGGTTCACTGGGGTATGCAGAGGTTCGTGGAAAAAAATCATTATTTCAGCTTATCTGCAAAATGGCTACACGGGGACCTTCTGCTTTGTGCAAGGCCCTTCCTGCCTCTACCACAAGGCAAGAAGAATCTTGTCCTGCAGCTTGCAGAAACTCCTCTATGTTATGAAAAAAAAGCAACAAAAACTCTAGACCTATATAGCATCAGAGGCAAGCAGAGCACAGAGCCTGTCTGAAAGCTGCAATTTAATTGTGATCTCTGCGAGTTATGAGTCACAAAGGAGCTATTTTAGACAGGAGAGGCTCAGATACCATCAGACTGACGTGACTTCAGGACTGTGAGACATGTGGCAATAAAATATGCTCCCAGTGGTAGTTGAGAAAAGCAATTCAAATAGCTTCATATTTTGATGGGGGATTTCACACTCCTGTGACTTAATGAATTTTCAGTTTGATAGCTCACACCCCTGCAAAAGTCCCAGTGCTTGAAAGAAGTTGTCAGAAAACCGACATAAACCCAGGGAACTAGGGGGAGGCTGCATGAGACCAGTGCCCGAGCTGTGAGTACAGGAGGCAAAGGAGTAGGCGTAGGGAGGCAATCCGGGGATGAAGCACCCTGTGGTCTACGTGCATTACCTGGGGTATTCATCCAGCCCATACGCTGTGCTCTTACATAAGCATCTCCTTCCTTTTACATGCTGAAACTGTTAACCTAGCTATTTAAAATCAGATTTTTTTTTTAAGACTAAAGCATAAAAAATGAATGGCAAAGAAGCCAGGGTGGATTTGTCATATGTATTTCCTCTCCCAGGAGAATGTTGGCTGTCCCTAGGTGATGCTGAGGGGCCCCGAGAGATACAGGGTGGAGGTACAGTACAAAATTATTCAGAGAAATATTTTATTCTGAAAAGAGAAATTTTATTCTGGAAATAGAAGCAGGTAAGGCTGGCCAGTGATGAGGACTACCTTGGATGTCTGGCAATGGCTTTTGATAGCACCTTACGTACATTTGTCTGTATTTGAAAAATAACGGGTTTTCAGCAGTTGCAGGAAACTGAAACACTGCATGTGGTAACGGCATGCTTGAAGGAAAAAAAATGTGCAAATCACTTGTTTTCTGTACCAGCAGAAACTCAATAATGCTTCTTGTTGTGGATGTGTGTGTTAGCACGTCATTATGGACTGATCACTGCCTTAACAGAGCTCTGCCTGTCTGATGGTTTCATCCTTCCCTCTTTTCCTAAATCTTTGAAGTTTTTCTTTGTTGTTTACTTTCACAAATCGTGACAAAAGGCTGTGGATTATCTAAGGTAGAAAAGCTGTATCGATATTCTACGAGAAATAATATTCCAAGAAAATAGGTGACCTGATGATCCCTCCCATTGCTCACTTCTGCCGTTAGCCATCTACCGTCTCCTTCATCTAATACAACTAGCATAAAGTTCTCATTTATTTTGTTTCATTTTCAGAAATTGCTCTATATTTGGATTGTCCAAATAGCCTTGAGTATGGGGGCAGAGAATGAATTTCATTGATTCATTAAAGTACGTGATGCCTGCACAGCTGTGCCCAGTGTAGGACTCATCACTCAGGCTTCTCTATGCAAACAAGCCTCACTAGGAAATTAAGAATCAGCCTCTATTCCTTTCTGGGTGCAAAACAGGACAGCAAATCGAGGCTTTTCATGTTTTTTTCACTCTCTTTTTCTTACCTCTGCTTGAGCAGATCCTCCACATCCTTGCACATCTTCCGTCCATCCAGCAGTCGCTGTACGAGCACCTCGTAGCCAGTGTGAAAAGTGAACTCCTTGCACTGCAAATGGAAGGACAAGCAACTGAGCTCATTTGTGAGCTTATTTTGCAGGTTTCCCAGACCTACTGTCAGTCACACAGAGCAATAAAACTTCCTGAAAAATCCAAGCGGATGGGGCAGGGTTAAAGAGCAGGAGTGGGCGAAGTTTCTCCAAAGTGAACATTTGGCTGATTTTTGTTTAAATCAGACTGCTTTCTTTTTAATAACGAAAAAGCGAGATGGGTCTCCAATTTTACTGCCTATAAGAGAAGAGCAGCCCGAGGATCCGTTAGCGGGGGCTCGTACGCTGCGGAGGGCTGTAGGGCAGCTCTTATGGTCGCGGCTGCTCTTCCCGTCTCAGAGCCCCTCGCTGTGCGAGCGGGGAGACGGGCAGGTTCGTGCTCGCACCGGTGTCACTGCCAGGGTGGCGCCTGGGCCGCCGTGTCCGTGCTGGCCTGTCTGAGCGCTGCGTCCGGAGCTCGGGGGTGGCCCTGCCGTCAGACACGCTGTTATGTCCTACCTGGGGACTGCTCTACCTGCAAAGACATTTTTCACTGTCTGAATCGCTCTGTCTCTGGTGTAAATTCAACATGACAGGATTAAAAGAGGTGGAACATGAGCATGCAGAGAGGTTAAGAGTGTGAACACTCGATCTGTAGGAAATTGGACGTGTCTGTTTCCAAGAAAACTTGCCAGCGACTGTTGCTCCCCTTGCTCTTGCATTCCGTATTCGGAGCTGCCCGTGCCTCGGGTGTTTTTCCAGTGCAGCCTGTCCTGCTCCGTGACCCCAGGTGACAGATGGAGCCAGCCGAGGTGATCTTTGGTGTACAGATTGCCCTTTGTGACAGGGCACGTCTTGGAGCTGTTTGGCATTTGCTGGCTCTTTGCTAAGGCTGCGGACTCGGGAAGGATCCTCCGGCAAGCAGCTTCGGATGCTTCCCGCCTTGCTTCCCAGTCTGTCTGGATGGGAGAGGAGCGGGGACTTAGGCATGACCTGGGGACAGGGTGCAGCCTCTGCAGTGCTGCTCACTGAGGTGCCGGTGCTCCCGGGGAATACAGCTCCGCACACCCCCTTTTCCTGCTCCGTTGAGCGCTAAGATAAATTTCTGCAGGCAATCTCGGTAAGCTGGTAGGTTATAGTAATGGTTCCAGTACTATAGTTTCCTGATGGCACCAATTCCTCCTTCCCTAATGGATACTCTTATCATGAGCCGTGGGATGACAGGAAAGACAGTAGGATATTGGTTAGCATGAGGCACAGACAAATGCCTCTGCCAGCAAACGTCTGGATTGCAGAGCCGGGCAAGGCAACAGTGCAGATAAAAGATGATGCAGGGGGAGTACAATGGATCCTGTGTTATCCCTGCCCCGGCCACGGGTAGCTCATAGGATTACATGGGCCCATCTGATGCATATAATCACCCCTGAAGAAACAGGATCTCAAAAACCAATGAATTTTCCTAATGTTACTGAGGGCAAGTTATACATCAGATCTAAGAGATCCTGCTGTGAAATAAATGAGAAAAAGTCAGTTTGGGGCACTCCTGGAGAAAAGTAGGAAAGGATTTTGAAAATTCTCCCGCAAAGGATTGCCACTTCCCCCATTTCCCTTTTCCTCTTGTCCTTTTCTTTGAGGACATCCCAACAGCAGCAGGCCCCGTAGCTGCAAAAGCCTCTCATTAGCCCTCCCCTCTGCCTGGCAGAAGCGGCTCCGCTCAGATGCTCCACGGGCAGCCCCCAAATGCAGATTGTATTTACCAGCTGCCATTAGCTCTGTCCCCTAGCTGTGTACACAGCTTCCTTGGCACAGAAATGCTGCCCAAAGGAAAGCAAAAATATCATATGGGTTTGAATCACCCCAGCAGCCAGGCAGGCTGCCACGAGGAGCCAGCCTGTAAAGCTGCTCTGCCTTTCTGTTCAACATCTCTGTTCAACATATCTCTTTCTGTAATATGTGCTAAAAATCAGTATCTTCCCCCTCCCTCTGTGCTTTTAAAGCGGAGCACTTGCTGTAATGAAATGATGGCAAATTCCTTGCATGTGGGAATCATTTATTAAATTCCCTGAGCAGAGAACATAACACCCGCTCATTATCGCCAACCAAAAACCCACGTGCAGAAGCACAGCAGTGGGTCAGCTGCTCAGCAGCCCTTCCAGGGGCCAAACTACCCCCCGGGCCCAATTCAGCCCTTTGGACTCTTTGTTCTAATTTATTAAAGTGGAAGGGGAAGAAGCAAAGCCATTTTTAAAAGCACATCATGTTCCCCCTCCCTTGGTGAGCAGGAAGAGGGTGACTTTTTGCAGCATGTCTAACCAGATCCTGTCACAGCCCAAATCAAAGGGTCCTTTCAAAGCTAGGCTGACGTGGGCCGAGCCGCGCGTTCCTGGCAGACTCCTGCAACCCTCTTGCTGCATGTAGACAGATATTTCTGTAAATGCAAAATCCATAATAGCCCTTGCACATTCCTAGATCACAGGCAGGATGTGAAAGCAGGGCTTTCAGCATTCGTTCTGTGTGCTCGGGTGTGCATATGCACGCAAAAAACAAAGCAGCCCCTGCCTTACTCAACAGATCTGCTTCCTGTTTGTCGCCTGCTAACAAAAATATGATTTGAACATGTTAAAAAGAGAGCTAGCACAGCCACAGATGAATGGGCCAGAATCTGCTCAGATTGATGCAGTAGTTCCTGCCTGCTGGAGCAGACAGTTGATTTCGGGCCCGGTACCTGCCCCAGCTGAGCAAATCCCTGCAAAACGAAGGACCTTCCATGTCAAATCAAATAGCAAGCATCTATTTAATCCCTTTCTTCATTTTTAGGGCTCTATCCCCAAACTTGCTTTATTGTCCTTGCCAAAGAAGCCACAAGAGCTGAAATCCTTTTAAGCCAAGGCCGCGGGGAGCTGGTGCAGGGAGCTGGAGCTCGAGCACGGAGCGGCGAAAGGAAACAGGCAGGTGCCCTGCGAGCTACGCAAGTTTACGCTGCTGTGGTCTCTCACCCTGCAATGCTTCCTCTTAATTTCCAACCACAGCGTAGCCATCATCCACTCAGGTTTTCCTTTTCTTGTACAGACACTGCCCTATCACTTCAAAATCTTTTCTACTGTAATATGTATTATAAATGCACCTTCCCTCAACCTATTGTTGAACCTCAGCAAATGAATCTCTTTCGCCCTTGTCTATGACACAGATTCTCTGTTCCTTTGATTCCTACATGATTCCTGTACGTTCCTCTATTACCTGTTTGAGAGTGAAATCTCTTTTGACGATGGGCCATACACTACTCCTGCTAAAGTCTAGCTGATGCTTTGTACAGGGGCATTAATGTCTTCTCTCTAGGAAATAGTTTTTTGATAGATGAGAAGTTTGTATCTGCTGTCTTCCATCATCAAAACATGCCAATGGCACCTAGGTGTTCTGTGATCTATGGACATACCTGCACTTTTCTCTTTTCTTGCCATGGGCTCCGTATTGGCTAATTCTTTAATATGTAGTATAAGAACAATTGTCTTTCTTGTCAACAAAATACCTAGGAGATCCCTTTGCATCACTGCATTAGAGATCCAGCTTCCATTAACCAGTCTCAGAATGGCACAAGCAAAGGAACAAATACACTTCAACTATAATTTTGTTTCTTAATTGAAAATTATGGAGATATGGCTTCTGTGGGATCATTATATACTTCCTTCTGTTAAATGATGAATTAATTCAGTTACTTTTTTTTTTTTTAGAAAATACGAAAAAATGCTTTAATTAGATAATAAATAGATTAATTAAATCTGTAAAAAGTTGTTTGTAGAAAATCTTAATAATGGCCTGGAAGAGAGTGATGTGAATCACCATCAGTAATTTGTCTCACTGCCAAGAAAGTGATTCCACTTAGTCAAAAAAGGCATGAATATGAAAGAGGATTTGCTCGTTGTCATTTTAATAAAACGGATTAGTTAGTCTGTGTTGTCCAACAGACCTGTAATCACAAATAACAAAAGTGCACGACAAAAGGATTTCAGTGTTACAGGCAGATTGGATTGTTTTGTTTTTTTTTTGGTCTGTGCACTGGAGCCCACCAGGTTTTTTCTCCTAGGGAGAATCACACTCATGGATAGGCCACACTTATTTCCTCCCCTGTCTGTCTGCAAAAGTTGCTTCCCTCCAATGCAATGAGCAGTCCTGTTCCCTCGGGGGATGAGGAAGGTAAAAGGGAGCACAAGACTGAAAAGCTCCAATTTAGACTGTAGTTTAACCAGAACAGCCTTGCCTCACGATGTGCAAGGAGGCCCTGCAAGCGGAGGGGTTGATAGCACATCCAGATCTACTTTCTCCTTTCCGTTCCTTTTTTCCTTGCAGCTTAGAGATGCTGCTCCCGTGCACTAGTGCCGAGGCAGAACGGTGCTTTGCAACTCTGGTTTTCCGGCTGCGCCGGCAATCACGCAGGTAAAACTTCCCGGCATTACTTGTGGGAAGGATTATTCCGAGAGGCTCTGAAGTGTGTTGGGATACATGGGGTTGTTGGAGGCTCGGAGGACTTTGATTACGTGAAGAAGGCTGCAAGTGGGAAGCTTGATGGTGTCAGTTTCCTGCACAAGGTTAGAAAGCTCAGTACGAAGACAGCAGGAAGGTAGCACAGGTTTTCTTACATTCTAGTGGCCTAAAGCTGAGGAACCTGGTGTTAATTCTTGCGGTTTTTAACTAACTGAGCACGAGCCTTGCAGTGCATCGGTTCTCTGTACCTTATGCTGCTGCTGCTTAGCAGGTGACTGCGATGTGATTTTTTTGAAGAGCAGATGTCTCTATTTTGAAATTTGAAATTGAAGGGTGGTATTGCAGTAATGCAGACTAGGAAAGATGAAAATACCTATTGGTAATTAAAACATGGTTTTGGTACATGGCTGCTGGAATAAGTTGAATTGACACAAAAACATCCAGGCTGATGCACAAAGCATGAGCTAAACTGGAAGGCTTGCTCATCTGGCCGCTGGTACTCGCAAAGGGCTGTGAAACAACTGGGCATCTCTGGCTACGC